CCTTCCAAGCAAAAATCCTCTTCCCCCCCACTCTAAATCCCCCTCCCTCCCACCACAGAGTACCGTCCCCAATCCCCCATCCTAGCATGAATCCTCCCTCTCAAAATTTCCCCTCCAAGCACAAATTCCCCCCCACACACTATTGGACCTTTTCTAGCACAAATCCCCTAAATCCCCCATCCTAACACAAATCCCCTCCCCCCATCCCCCCCAAATCACCACTTCTAGCTCATCTCCCCAAATTTACACCTATAGAACAATTCTTACTCCTTGCCGACCCCCTAATTCCCCCCTCCCAACACAAATCCCCTCCTCCTCCAATCTCCTCATGGTGCCCCCCACACACCTCACATGATACCATAGTGCCCAGGGCAACCACCTCTCCCCCCCCCCCCACCCCTTGACCCCGGCCCTGGATACATCATAGACATGAGATTATGGTTTGCTGACAAACATGTAAAATCATCTAGGCCGAGAATTTCCCCATATGCCCCCAGCACAAATCCCCCCCCCAAAAAAAAAAATTCCCTATCCTAGCATTAATGCCCCTAAAATCAAATCCTGTTCCCCCCACTCTAAATCCCCCTCCCTCCCAGCACAAATTACCCTCCCCCAATCCCCCATCCCAGCATAAATCCTCCCCCCCCCCAAATTTCCCCTCCAAGCAAAAATCCTCTTCCCCCCACTCTAAATCCCCCTCCCTCCCACCACAGAGTACCCTCCCCCAATCCCCCATCCTAGCATGAATCCTCCCCCTCAAAATTTCCCCTCCAAGCACAAATTCCGCCCCTCCCCCCCACTATAGGGACCTTTTCTAGCACAAATCCCCTAAATCCCCCCCCCATCCTAACAAAAAAAACCCCTCCCCCCCCCCAAAATCACCACTCCTAGCACATCTCCCCAAATTTACACTTATAGAACAATTCTTTACTCCTTGCCAACCCTCTAATTCCCCCTCCCAACACAAATCCCCTACCCCCAATCTCCTCATGGTGCCCCCCACACACCTCACATGATACCATAGTGCCCAGGGCAACCACCTCTCCCCCCCCCCCACCCCTTGTCCTGGCCCTGGATACATCATAGACATGAGATTATGGTTTGCTGACAAACATGAAAAATCATCCCCCCCCATCCATCCCTGTCTCCCTCTTCCACAAGCATTCCCATTATTTCATAATTAATCAGAAAATCCAGTTGGGATCAGGAAGCGTCCTCGGGGGAGAATTCGTAGAAATGAGTATTCTTACCGGGAAATGATGAATTCGTCCAGAGAAAATCTTTGGATCTTGCTCCACTGACACCATACCAAAGGGTAAAGGAGGTAAGGCGGCATATGTGACACCACTGTTCGGAAGAATCTTCCCAGTGGGGGCAGAAGCAGCACTAAGAACCGAGAGGTGGAGGGGTGCTGGACTTTCACAGGGTTATCATTATGTGGACAAAGTCATTTGAACCCTGTATTCGGCCGATCACCTCAAAGACGGGGACCCCCCTGGAGAAGGACATTTGCCCAAGATGAGAAATCCAAGCAGGGGCGGGACTGACCATTTGGAAAACTCGGGCACTGCCTGAGGGCCCGGGGTCAGTAGGGGGCCCCATGAGATGCCCCTGGTACCTTTTTCATAGGCTTTTTTGAGTTTGGGCAAGGATACAGGGGCCCCATGATCCCCTATTGCCTGGGGGCCCCATGAGTTGTCAGTCCGCCCCTGAATCCAAGTGTAATAGGTCAAAAAGAGTAATAGGAGACCAAAGTCTTTTGTTGGTCAACTGGTTACAATAAGCAACGTGTTTCGGGGGTCACACCCCCCCCTTCATCAAATCTGGAGGAACAACAGTCCGTGGTGGTGTTCACGGTAGATATGTCAAGGGAAGCCTTTGCCCCTTCTACTGCCCATTGCCATGTGTAGTCTGAACGCCAGCACTGACTGTTGTTCCACCCAGCCCTGATGAAGTGTGGACCCCCGAAACGCGTTGGCTCTCTCCTTTGCCCTGCTTGTTGTAAACCAGTTGAACAATAAAGATTTTGGACATTGAAGGATTTTTCATTCGGCATTCTCTTTGACCTATTACACTAAGCCAGTGGTCTCCAAACTGTTGCCCAGGAGCCGAATGTGGCCCTTCACTTGCCTTTGTCCGGCCCTTGGGGCACAATTCCACAAGATTGGAGGGACTTTGTCTAAGGGGCAAATTGTAATTTGTAACTCTAAAAAACTGGAGCTGTTGTGGGATGTTCCCAGTCTGCAGGGGTCAGGACCGACCAAAATGGTCCAAGGAAGGAAAACTGGCTAACTGTCATGGGTGGCCAAGGTTCAGTGATGGAGGTGAGGAGGGAAGGCTCATTGATGGAGGTTGGGAGGGAAGGCTCATTGATGGAGGTTGGGAGGGAAGGCTCATTGATGGAGGTGAGGAGGAGGAAAAGGCTCATTGACAGAGGTGGGGAGGGAAGGCTCATTGACAGAGGTGAGGAGGGAAGGCTCATTGAATGAGGTGTGGAGGGAAAGTTAATTGTTGAAGGTGGGGAGGGAAGGCTGATTGATGGAGGTAGAGAGGGAAGGTTCATTGATGAAGGTGGGGAGGGAAGGCTCATTGATGAAGGTGGGGAGGGAAGGCTCATTGACAGAGGTGGGGAGGGAAGGCTCATTGACAGAGGTGAGGAGGGAAGGCTCATTGAAGGGAGGTGTGGAGGGAAAGTTAATTGTTGAAGGTGGGGAGGGAAGGCTCATTGATGGAGGTGGGGAGGAAGGCTCATTGGTGAAGGTGAGGGGAAGGCTCATTGATAGAGATAAGGCGGGAAGGCTCATTGAATTAGGTAGGGAGGGAAGGCTCATTGTAGGAGGTGGGGAGGGAAGGTTCATTGATGAAGGTGAGGAGTGAAGGCTAATCTGTTTAGTCTGATCCAATAGAGGAGCTACTGAAGCTTAAAGTTACTAAACCCCCCACAGTACAATCAGTCTGTATATGCAGTAAAGCATGCTTGTTATACTCACTGTGGAACCTAAGGGGTTAATCCTCCGTATTGTGTAAAAGGGATGTTTGATCCTGTCTTCTCTGATTCTCCCCTTCTTCCAGTGTCTTCCAAATATCTTCTAAGAGAACAGAAGCTAGGGGCAAGCTGCACATGCTCAGTTTGGTGCGTATGGCTAAAGAGTTTTTTTTTTTCTTGGGAGAGTGTAATGTGATCAGCACAGGGCCAAACAGCACTGTCCAGACAGAGGTCAGAGGTTCTGCATCCTCCTAGAGCAGAATCAAAACTCCTCCTACAAGCTTTAACCATTGCTCTGCTGGACACTGATAGAAGTCACAAGACTGCTCTATACTGCTGATGAGAAACTTATGAGTAATTACAAGTTTATATTTAATAAAATAATTGCATTTCCATGTTCTGTGTACTGTGGGGAGAGCGGATATAGTGAATGCGGGGTCCGGGGAGAGCGGATATAGTGAATGCGGGGTCCGGGGAGAGCAGATATAGTGAATGCGGGGTCCGGGGAGAGCGGATATAGTGAATGCGGGGTCCGGGGAGAGCAGATATAGTGAATGCGGGGTCCGGGAGAGCGGATATAGTGAATGCGGGGTCCGGGGAGAGCGGATATAGTGAATGCGGGGTCCGGGGAGAGCGGATATAGTGAATGCGGGGTCCAGGGAGAGCGGATATAGTGAATGCGGTGTCCGGGGAGAGCGGATATAGTGAATGCGGGGTCCGGGGAGAGCGGATATAGTGAATTTCAGGGACCGGGGAGAGCGGATATAGTGAATGCTGGGTCCGGGGAGAGCGGATACAGTGAATGCGGGGTCCGGGGAGAGAGCGGGATACAGTGAATGCGGGGTCCGAGGAGAGCGGATATAGTGAATGCGGGGGTCCGGGGGAGAGCGGATATAGTGAATGCGGGGTCCGAGGGAGAGCGGATATAGTGAATGCGGGGTCCGGGAGAGCGGGATATAGTGAATGCGGGGTCCGGGGAGAGCGGATAGTGAATGCGGGGTCCGGAGAGAGCGGATATAGTGAATGCGGGGTCCGAGGAGAGCGGATATAGTGAATTCGGGGTCCGTGGAGAGCGGATATAGTGAATGCGGGGTCCGGGGAAAGCGGATATAGTGAATGGGGGTCCGGGGAGAGCGGATATAGTGAATGCGGGGTCCGGGGAGAGCGGATATAGGGAATGCGGGGTCCGGGGAGAGGGGATATAGTGAATGCGGGGTCCGGGAGAGCAGATATAGGGAATGCGGGGTCCGGAGAGAGCGGATATAGGGAATGCGGGGTCCAGGGAAAGCGGATATAGTGAATGCGGGGTCCGGGGAGAGCGGATATAGTGAATGCGGGGTCCGGGGAGACCGGGGACATAGTGAATGGGGGGTCCGGGGGAGAGTGGATATAGTGAATGCGGGGTCCAGGGAGAAGCGGATATAGTGAATGCGGGGTCCGGGAGAGCGGATATAGTGGAATGCGGGGTCCGAGGAGAGCGGATAGTGAATGCGGGGTCCGGGAGAGCGGATATGTGGGGGTCCGGGGATGCGGGGTCCGGGGAGAGAGCGGATATAGTGAATGCGGGGTCCGGGAAGAGCGGATATAGTGAATGCGGGGTCCGGGGAGAGCGGATATAGTGAATGCGGGGTCCGAGGAGAGCGGATATAGTGAATGCGGGGTCCGAGGAGAGCGGATATAGTGAATGCGGGGTCCGAGGGAGAGCGGATATAGTGAATGCGGGGTCCGAGGAGAGCGGATATAGTGAATGCGGGGTCCGAGGAGAGCGGATATAGTGAATGCGGGGTCCGAGGAGAGCGGATATAGTGAATGCGGGGTCTGGGGAGAGCGGATATAGTGAATGCGGGGTCCGGGGAGAGCGGATATAGTGAATGCGGGGTCCGGGGAGAGCGGATATAGTGAATGCGGGGTCCCGAGGAGAGCGGATATAGTATGAATGCGGGGTCCGGGGAGAGCGGATATAGTGAATGCGGGGTCCGGGGAGAGCGGATATAGTGAATGCGGGGGGGATCCGGGGAGAGCGGATATAGTGAATGCGGGGTCCGAGGAGAGCGGATATAGTGAATGCGGGGTCCGGGGAGAGCGGATATAGTGAATGCGGGGTCCGGGAGAGCGGATATAGTGAATGCGGGGTCCGAGGAGAGCGGATATAGTGAATGCGGGGTCCGGGGAGAGCGGATATAGTGAATGCGGGGTCCTGGGAGAGGGGATATAGTGAATGCGGGGTCCCCGGGAGAGCGGATATAGTGAATGCGGGGTCCGGGGAGAGCGGATATAGTGAATGCGGGGGAGAGCGGATCCGGGAGAGCGGATATAGTGAATGCGGGGTCCGGGGAGAGCGGATATAGTGAATGCGGGGTCCAGGATTTAGTAACACTAAGATGCTAATAAAGGTAATGCTGATTCTTATAGAAAGGTGTCAGAACACAGAGGATCGCAGTGTGTTGTCTATGGGGGGGCTATGTGGCCGCAGATAGGTCAGGGTGCCCAAGCTGACCCGTGTCCACAGCCAAAAGTGCCTGCAATGGGCAAGTGAGCTTCAGAACTGGACCACGGACCTATGGAAGAAGATGGCCTGGTCTGACTATCTCAAGCCTGGTTTGAGGAACACAACGAGTTTGAGGCAGGGGCGGACTGACCGTTCGGAAACTCGGGCACTGCCCGAGGGCCTGGGGTCAGTAGGGGGCCCCATGAGATGCCCCTGGTACCTTTTTCATAGGGTTTTTTGAGTTTGGGCAAGGACACAGGGGCCCCATGATCCCCTATTGCCCGGGGGCCCCATGAGTTGTCAGTCCGCCCCTGGTTTGAGGTGTTGACTCCAGATCTCAATCCAATCGAGCATCTGTGGGATCCGATCCATGGAGCCCCCACCTCCCAAAGGATCAGTATCTGACGGCTCGGTGCCAGGTACCACAGCATACTTTCCGTGGTCTAGTGGGGTCCACGCCTCGATGGGTCAGGGGCCGATTTGGTGGTAATAGAGGGACTCGGTCAATATTAGTTGGGTGGCCACGTTCTGGCCGAATCGGTTTCTACACCTGTGTGAGGTCCCCAGACAGTCTGAATGAAGCCCTAATCAGTCAGCTTTGGTCAGACAGGCAGAATCCCGTCATCTCTGCGCGGCGATATTAAACGGTTCCTATTAGCGGTTCCCCTCCGCGCTCCATTTGTCTGTACGTCTGATCCGACGCCGAGATATTGTCCGCCATTCTGGAAGTAATTACGGGAGGGAAGAGGAAATCCAACATGAAAAATGTTTTTGTCACACACCGTTCAATACATCAACAAACACTCCCGGCACTTCCACTCTCTTTAAAAGTTTTATTGATTTAAAGTCGCGATCTGTCGGACGGCACTTTGTCAGAGGAGAAATAAATATCTAATCGTACGTTTAAAGCTGAACTCCGGGCAGACAGAACAGACACAGATTAATGCGACTTTCTGTTCGCTAAAGTCGTACCAAAGGCTTGATTTCACCCGGACATCTGTATTCCCAAATCGCCGTTCATTTAGTAAAGCTGGAGAGGGCCAAATCAGGTTCACGTCTGCGTGGAAACCAATCAGCTTCCAGGTTTTACCAAAGCTTAACCCCTTGCCCAGGGCTGCTGTTAGAAACCACGGGGGCCCCATACAGCCAACCTCACAGCCCCCACCACATAAAAAAACACAGTTTACGATGCTTCAGTTATGAATGAACACAGTGAAAAAAATGATTGGTTTGTTGCTGCCTGTGTCCCCAACTGAGAAGATTCACCACTTTTTTGAACTTGCTCACGCTTGCGTTGGCTCTTTGAAGAACGATCCGTGTTCAGGTGACTCTTCAGAGAGCAGAGGCATTGTATCCAGGGCTGCTGTTGGAAACCCACAGGGGCCCCATACAGCCAACCTCACAGCCCCCACCACATAAAAAAACACAGTTTACGATGCTTCAGTTATGAATGAACACAGTGAATGATTGGTTTGTTGCTGCCTGTGTCCCCAACTGAGAAGATTCACCACTTTTTTGAACTTGCTCACGCTTGCGTTGGCTCTTTGAAGAACGATCCGTGTTCAGGTGACTCTTCAGAGAGCAGAGGCATTGTATCCAGGGCTGCTGTTGGAAACCACAGGGGCCCCATACAGCCAACCTCACAGCCCCCCACCACAATAAAAAACACAGTTTACGATGCTTCAGTTATGAATGAACACAGTGAGTGATTGGTTTGTTGTTGCCAACCTCACAGCCCCACCACAATAAAAAAAACCTGTGAAAAAAACACCCCTGTGTCCCCAACTGAGAAGATTCACCACTTTTTTGAACTTGCTCACGCTTGCGTTGGCTCTTTGAAGAACGATCCGTGTTCAGGTGACTCTTCAGAGAGCAGAGGCATTGTATCCAGGGCTGCTGTTGGAAACCACAGGGGCCCCATACAGCCAACCTCACAGCCCCCACCACATAAAAAACACAGTTTACGATGCTTCAGTTATGAATGAACACAGTGAATGATTGGTTTGTTGCTGCCTGTGTCCCCAACTGAGAAGATTCACCACTTTTTTGAACTTGCTCACGCTTGCGTTGGCTCTTTGAAGAACGATCCGTGTTCAGGTGACTCTTCAGAGAGCAGAGGCATTGTATCCAGGGCTGCTGTTGGAAACCACAGGGGCCCCATACAGCCAACCTCACAGCCCCCACCACATAAAAAAACACAGTTTACGATGCTTCAGTTATGAATGAACACAGTGAGGTGATTGGTTTGTTGCTGCCTGTGTCCCCAACTGAGAAGATTCACCACTCTTAGGACTTGCTCACGCTTGCGTTGGCTCTTTGAAGAACGATCCGTGTTCAGATGACTCTTCAGAGAGCAGAGGCATTGTATCCAGGGCTGCTGTTAGAAACCACGGGGCCCCCATACGGCCAACCTGACAGGGCCCGCAAAGAAAACAAAGTTTACGATGTTTCAGTTATGAATGAACGCAGTGAGTGATTGGCACTGATCACTCACTGTGTTCATTCAGGAAAGGAAGGGGCTGGTAAATGTGACATAGTTACAGGACCCTTCCGCCACTCTCCATCCTGATTATGTACTTGCAGGTAGGAAGCAGAGGAGGGAGGTAGTGGCACTGCGGGTGGGGGTACACACGGGCATATTTACCACAAGGCATTTGCCTAGGGCGCCATTTTTCAGGGGGGGCAGCAGCAGCTTTCAGGAGTCAGCGGCATTTTTCAGGGGGGCAATGCCACCCCCCAAAAGAAGGGATGGAAGAAGGAACACACGCAGCATGGGAACCAGGTGGGATCTGAGAGAGGCTGGGGGCTGCTTGGTGGTGTATACAGAGCCCGACTCTTGTTCCCGGGGATGTCTGGAGCTGTGAAGGTGAGTGTCTTCTCTTTCGTAGGGTCGGGGGGGGGGGGTTCCCAGTGTATGGGGGAAGGTGGTAATGGAAGGCATCTCGGGTGGGGGCTGGGGTGTTGCTGGTCAATGTCTGGCTCTCTTCGCTTGGGAGGGGGTGCTGGTTGGTGTCAGGGTCTCTTTATGGGGGGGGGCAGTTTTTGTGTTGCCTAGGGCAGCACGAAACCTAAATACACCACTGAGTACACAGGGGGGGACTGGACAGCAGGGGGAAACACATGGCAAACAGGGAGGGCAGAGGCGGACTGACCAGTTGGAAACTTGGGCACTGCCTGAGGGCCCAGGGTCAGTAGGGGGCCCCATGAGATGCCCCTGGTACCTTTTTCATAGGCTTTTTTGAGTTTGGGCAAGGACACAGGGGCCCCATGATCCCCTATTGCCCGGGGGCCCCATGAGTTGTCAATCTGCCCCTGAGGGAGGGTGATTGGTGCAGCAGGGGGGGTAATTACTGGAACCGATCCCCTGTATGGCTCTCTCTACAGCAGCTGAAAGCCAGCGGGAGGGAGAGGAGAAGAAGCCGGCTTTCAGCTGCTGCAGAGACTCATGCAGGGGATCGGTTCCAGGATTTACCCCCCACAATGAGCTGATCACTCTCCCTGCCCACATCCTATTCAGCCAGCTGCCTTGGCCCCTCTGCTGGCCTGGGCCCCGTACAGGAGGACTGGTGGCACCCCCTTATCAACGCCCTGCCTTTGGCTACCGAGCACTTATACCCCCTCCCTGCCCAGGGCAATTTTCAGCTTTCAGCGCTATCGCACTTTGAATGACAATTGTGCGGTCATGCAACACTGTACCTATATGAATGTTTTTAGCATTTGTTTCAGCAAACAGAGCTTTCTTTTGGCTATATTTAATTGCCACTGGGGTGTTTTTTTTGCACTGTAAATGAAAAAAGAGCAAAAAATAATAAAAAAAAGTTTTCTTTGTTTCTATTATAAAACTTTGCAAACAGGTAATTTGCTGCTGGGCAGCACTGCTGGGCACTGATGGGTGGCACTGATGGGTGACACTGATGGGCACTGATGGGTGATGGGTGACACTGATGGGCACTGATGGGTGGTACTGATGGGCGACACTGATGGGCACTGATGGGTGACACTGATGGGCACTGATGGGTGGCACCGATGGGGCACTGATGGGTGGTACTGATGGGTGACACTGATGGGCACTGATGGATGGCACTGATGCCGGGGCACTCATGGGTGGCACTGATGGTCAACACTGCTGGCACTGACTGGGCACTGATGGGTGGCACTGATGGGCGACACTGCTGGGCACTGAGGGGTGGTACTGATGGGTGACACTGATCAGTGGTACTGATGGGTGACACTGCCGGGCACTCATGGGTGGCACTGCCGGGCACTGATGGGCAAACACTGATGGGCACTTATGGGTGGTACTGATGGGTGACACTGATGGGTACTGATGGGTGGCACTGCTGGGCAGCATTGCTGAGCACTGATCATCAGTGCCTTGATTATTAGTGCAGATCTCCCCTGTCATATTTGCCAGTTATCTGCAGTACTTTCCTCGTGCTGTGACAGTGGGAGGAAAGTGCAGCCGATAACCGGCAACTGTATTTACAGTATCTCCCAGAAGTGAGTCCCCCCCTCCCCCGGACTGTATACAATGTATATATATATATACAGTATCTCCCAGAAGTGAGTCCCCCCCCCCCCCCCGACTGTATACAATGTATATATATATATATACAGTATCCCCCAGAAGTGAGTCCCCCCCTCCCCCGGACTGTATACCATGTATATATATATATATACTGTATCTCCCAGAAGTGAGTCCCCCCTCCCCCGGACTGTATACAATGTATATATATATATATAGTATCTCCCAGAAGTGAGTCCCCCCCTCCCCCCCGGACTGTATACAATGTATATATATATATATACAGTATCTCCCAGAAGTGAGTCCCCCCCTCCCCCGGACTGTATACAATGTATATATATATATATACTGTATCTCCCAGAAGTGAGTCCCCCCCCCCCCCCGGACTGTATACAATGTATATATATATATACAGTATCTCCCAGAAGTGAGTCCCCCCCCTCCCCCGGACTGTATACAATGTATATATAT